TATTATGAAGTTGCCGTCTAAATGGGAACACATTATCGAACAAAACGACGGATATTTGATCTAAATCCGTTCACTGTATCAATTTTTATAAAGAATAAGGAGCAAAAAAGCGGAAGGGAGTTATTTGACAACCTAATATCTCAAGCTTTCGATCGAGTCTGGCTCGATGGCCTCAGGCATATGATCAAAACACACTTGCCTACATTTACTCATAACCAGTGTTGGGATAGGTACTGTTTTTTTTTTTACCTAGGTAAGGTAAAAGCTATTGGGCAAAAATAAATACCTAGGTAAGGTAAAGGTACTTCATTTTCCCTGTACCTAGGTAAAGGTAAACGGTAAAAATATCGTTTTTTCAATTTTTATGATTTTTTTGTATTATTTATTTATTAGTTTGTTTGTTTTATTACATCAATTCAACTTAAAATAAGATCAGATTTCAGGATTTAGTCCTCTTAAAAATATGTAACATTTTCTTTTCATTTTCTTATAACAATCATAATTTAAATGTTGTCTTTTTTAACATAACTAATGTTTCGAAAAACTCGTCTCCCACCCTTTTTCGTTTTGTGTTTAGAATTTGACCTCCACAACTAAATAATCTTTCAACTGGCGAAGAGCTGGGCAGAACTGTATTGTAATATAGGATTACATCCAAAATGCGTTTATATTTATGTAACGCTCCTAAATTTGTGTCATGCTTAACGTGAGATATTGGTAGCATCTCCGTCACGATGTAGTCGCACACTTTCTGATTGATCTACAAATATTTAAATAAACACACATTATTATACATTGAGTTATTAAATGTTGCCATTAATGTAATTCAGTTCCGCCCAGGTCTGAAATTTGAATTATTTTGTTCCTTAGAAAGTTCCAAATCCGTCTTAGCTTTCATGGCCTCGTACTCCGTGTAACTGCTTGGATGAACCCTCTAAAGTTGTGGAAGGGTTTTATTTTAATATTACGTCCAATTATTGAGAAATATAGCCTTAAATAAATACATCAATGTAGTACATACATTTGTACACAAAATTATATAAAATAAAACTGCGTTTTTACCCTTATTCACATTTTCTTTTTCAAACATGGACATAAGTAATGTATATGTACATATCCTACACATAAACAAAACGCATATAACTTACCTTACGGTGTTTCTGGAGATTTCCTATCTATTTGCTTACTTCATTGTTCATAAAATAGCTTTATAATTCTAAAGGTATATACAAATCTGTAGCTAGGTAAGGTAAAAGTTATCCAATTATTCTTATACCTAGGTAAGGTAAAAGGTACCACTCAGCATAGGTAAAAGTATCTAGGTATATCACAACACTGCTCATAACTACTACTTGAGTCGTATATGTACAACAGAATCTTTGCAGTAAGGTGCAACACAGCAACATCTGACGACTACATTATCGAAGCTGGAGCCCCGCAAGGAAGCGCCTACTCTGCTCGTCCCATATACAGCGGATATTCCTACAAACGAGCAGCTAACAACATCTACGTTTGCTGACACTGCTCGAGGAGCCCAAGCGGAGCAACAACACAACTAGCCAATCACCTCATCGTAGTTGAGAGGTGGCTGTCGGCTTGGCGTATTAAAATAAATGAAGATGAATGTAAACACATAACATTTACTCTCAACAGGCAAACATGCCCTCCACTATCATTGAATAGTACGCCGATTCCCCAAGTCAACGAAGTAACGTATCTTGGCGTCCACCTAGACAGACGACTAACCTGGAGAAACACATCGGATCCAACAAACTACATCTAAAACTAAAAGCCAGCAGCTTCCACTGAATATTAAACATTCGATCGCCCCTGCGTCTGGACTACAAGGTCCTGCTCTACAACTCTACTCTCAAGCCTATCTGGACATATGGATCCCAGCTATGGGGGAACGTGAGCAGCAGCAACATTGACATCACAATCGAAAATCCTGAGGTCTATCACTGGGGCACCGTGGTATATTCGCACCCAAAACATCCACTGAGATCTCGGGTTTCCAGCAGAACCCGCCTTCAACGCAACGACCTTCACACCCAGCAATCATTCTCAGGGCCGCATTACTCAATACCAGTCATATGACTGTTAGTTAGATTACTTTGAGATTTGATACATTTATTGTTAGTATCCGAAAGAAGAAAATTCAATAAATAGCATAATAATTAGGCCAACAATTCTAGTTAGTAATAATGATATTTTAAATAGTCAGGAATTACGTAGAAAAACAATATTAAGAAATACTTAAAGAATAAAATCGTTTTGCAATTTTTATACAATTTCGAAGCCTGACCACGGTTAATGAACCAACATTCAAATAAACTTTAGAGGAGTAACCTAATTACTCATTAAACAGATCAGCTTGACATAAATTGCATTGGATATGCAGTTTTATTTGCAATTTATTTTAATTCACAAACGCCTTGACGATCGTCTTGCCGATGTCTGCGTGTGGTCCTTATTGTTATTGTTGTTTATTTTTGGAAAAGCGATAAGCGCAATGCACACGCAATTGCAATTTTTTTTTCTTTGCACTTGTCTTTTCTTTGTCAGGTTTAATATTTATGTTCGACGTTAAATTAAATTTATGATATTTATTTCTTTGCGTCTTTTGTTTACGAATTTATTTAGTTTTAGTTATTAAAATTTGTATATTTTTACACGTTCATATTTTGCTGTCAAACAATCTACTTGGTAATAATGTTATTTTAAATAGTCGGGAGTTACTTTGAAAAACAATATTAAGAAATACTGAAAGGTTGAGATCGTTTTGGAATTCGATCAAAACAAATAATAGCATACGTTTTAAAAACAATGATTATCGTCCTTACGCAGAAGTCATGTTATTGAATTGGGTAGTCAAAGGATTGTTGGACACTGGAGCAGTCATAAATGTTATTGGAGGCAAATTGGCAGCATAAATCATACGGAGCAGGCTAAAATTCTCTCTCCATGGTACCACACACAGCCGATAGTACAAAGCAGGACGTCATAGGTAAACTATGAACGATTTTCACATCGTTCTTGGGTCAGAACCTACATATACTTAGGGATATAATTTTGGAATACTATTGATTTGTCACCACCATTTATGCAAGACTCTAAAATAGTGTTAGGAAATCAACAATATAGTCCGATACTCAACGAGGTGGTCGCCAAATTTCCTTTATTCGCAGTATTCGGGTTTGAAAAATCTCATTAGTTTCCTGTAAGTTGCTAAGTTGCGTTGCTAAAGTGACCCTTTTCCTGTCGAAAAATTAGTATATTCGGAAGTCGATAGAATGTTGAAAATGGGAGTGATAGAGGAATCTCAGAGCGGTTGGTCGTCCGTGTTTAGAAATTCGCAAAGTCAGCTCTGTGACAAAAAAGGATGCATATCCTATACCACAGATCGATGGTATTTTGTCAAGACTGACGAAGGCAATGTTCATCTCGAGTTTGAATCTGAAAATCGAGCGATACGATGGCTTTTACCTTTTATTTCAAAGTTATTTCAGACCTGACGACTCTTAAAAAAATAGTCTTTAGGATGGCATTGCTTATTAACATTTAGAAATAGGCTCACAAAAGCATTATGCAATTATTGGTGTTACCGCAAGTTTTAGCGCTATCTGACCCTACTTTAAAAGGACATCAATAAAATGGTTCTGAATGAGTTGCTGTCAAACCGTAATATGGATGGAAAGAATCGGCCAATAGCTTATGCCAGCCAAACGACGACTGTAACAAGTCAGCACTACCGACAGATTGATAAGGCGGCCCTTGCTATCAAATGGTCGTATGCTTACCGAATTTTCAAAAAATCCAAAAATCTTTACCGGCAATATTAATTTTGCGCATGGACAACTACAACTACTTAGTAACTTCAACGTTGATGTTATAGCAAAAATATTCTAATAGCTAGGAGAACAGAACAGATGAGCGCTTGGGAGAAAAAGTTCATGCTATCAAAAGCGGTCATAATGGACTTGGAATATTACTACCAAATCTCAGTTGGTTGCCTTACTTTCCAGCACAGAGTGGTAGTCCCAACCAAACTCAGGATGTTGCTATTGAAAGAGCTACATGGCGCTCACATGGGTATCGTCAAAAGTGAAGATCACTGCTCGCTTATTTTTATTGGCCAGTTATCGATAAGGATATTGAAAACATATCAAAATATTGTGAGAATTTCCGACAAACCGTTATTAGTTTTTCGCCTGTTAGTCGTCCAACGTCCAAAAACGTGTATCTTATTGATTAAACTCGAGGTCAGACGTTGGTTATTTTCTGATTTCTTCTAAAACACAACGTTTATTAACGGACGGCCGTGTCTGTCACGCAGAGACCATACGTCTGCGGAGACGTCGTCGACCTAGTGGTGTGGCCAGATGTCTTGCTAGACAGTATAAAAATTGCTAGACTACAAGGCAGAAAAAAACCACAAAAATATATATTAAATATTTGAATAATCTAATTAAAACCAATGTTGAGTAAGAAACAAATTTGTGAGTTTAGTATTTATTTTATTTTTTTATAAGAAATGCAAACGCTTAATATGCTAAGTACTAATTTATAACGGAATTTCTGAGTAAGTACATACATAAATAGTATGGAAATAATATCTAATAGGTCTTCATAATAACTTGGTAGTATCACTATATCTTTATGCCTCTCTTGCGTTTTTATCCTTCTCCAGCGCCAACACGGGACTACATGTTATTGTTTATAACTTTAATGTCTATTTCCTAAAAGCACAATCCTATATCCGCTTGCTGACTGATAAAACGTTATGTTTGGAGTAGCAGGACCATTAAAAAACAATCTGCTAACGGCACACTATTTATTATCGGGTATTTGTAGATTGTGGGAGGCGATTTGTCCGTCCGGGACATTCAAATCAGTATCAGTCACAAATATGAAAACAAACGATTTTTCTACTTCCATCGTTCCATTTTCGTCGTTGTCTGACCGTTTCTATTTTGACTCTAATTTTTCTTTTGACAACAACAAAAATGTACATTTTGTTTAATAAAACTTTTGTTTATTGACCATTTTGATTGTTTCTGATTATTTGAAAAACGTCTGGAATATCATTTTTAAATTTTATTTTTATCACATTAAGAAAGCCTACTTCAGCTTCACTTCAGAAATCATGAAAATTAAACCTAAAAAAATAGTCTTATTTTTGGTTTTTGGACTACATAAAATCTAAAATGCCTGATTTAACTTAACAAACATTTAGATGTTTCGTGTTTTTAAACATGGTTTCGTGTTTTTAAACATGACCCGCGTTAATTTTGTTTCGGAACCAGTTCTATAATGATCCTAAACAGCTGATTGTACGCCTTCTATTTGGTTGAGTGGTCACTTATATTTCTTTTTTCAACTAATAATAATTTGTTCATACATAAATAAAAAATGGGTAAGTTTTAAAACAGTTTTGGTGTTTAATAACCATTAATGTGTATTAAAACATGTAATTAAATGCTTAGCTATGTTAAAATCGAGTTCTGGAAATGTAAATATAAAGGTACATACATACATATGTATGTATGTACATATGACAGAACCATTTTTTAAAATATAAATACATATTTGTACATAAAAATATTCATACCTAAACAAACCATTAATTAGTGCGTTTTATTAACATACATGTATATGGCATGTGTACATTCATATGTGAAAAGATGCACCTAAATGAAAGATGTGACACATCATTTATTTGTTTACTTTTCAAACAACTCAAATAAAATGATATTAAAAATACTATGGTCATAATTTGGGTGGAAAATGAAATCTGGAAATGGTCATTAGCGTAGCCGTCTGGCCATTACCTAAAGTGTAACAGAAATGGTTCCCAACATAAATTGGATGGAATTTGTATGTACATACATATTAAATATGTACATTATTTCAACCGAATTAGTTAAAAGATGTTTCTGTGTCACCCCTGTTTTGGAATCCTATTCGCTATCGTGAATCCCTTCCCGTTTTCATGATAAAAAAACCAAATAAAAAGCATGCTTGCACACATTTCTTGCACTCAAACAAACCTTACCCAACAGCAAGATTTGTTTTATTTTTTAATTTTTAAGCTTTTTTGAGCAAATAGACAATCTTTGAAAAGTTTTGTCATCAATATATTTTCAACTAGTAACTGATACAAAATTCCTTGATATAAAAATTTCCTTGACACCAAAATCTTTATCCTTTACAAATCGTTGTCCAACGGGGACAGTAACCTCTACCCATTCCGTGTACTTGTAGTATATGGATGACAAAATCTTCCAACAAACAATGGCTGGTTTGGCTCAACTTTTTTTTCAGTTGTTCACAATGGCAAGAGGAACGCATAGGAATCTTCACAGCTCAGTGAAATATAACCAGGCCTGATAAGAGGGGGGACAGCGGAGTCAAAAATATTTTTTTGAAAATTTAGATGTTATGAAAAATTGAGAAAGAAAAATTTAAATCAAAAGGTCCACATTGAAATATAAACTATCTGTGGTTGTATTATCACTCTGGAGTTAATCTAAAGACCGGGTCCCCCAGTATTTTGAAAGAAATCAATTATACACTTCTAGTCCATCGATTCGCTGATTCTTTGATGTTAGTGTTACTATGGCTACTATAAAATATTATAAATTCCTAATAGTTGTCTATAAAACGCTTTTCCTACTTCAATTTTAGAGCTCCCAAACGAACGCTGTTAATTTTTAAGCATGCATCTAGGATACGGAAGGGTTGTCAAAGCAGTAAATACGTGTATATCACTTAGAGGTATCATTGCAAATTGGGGTAAGACCTTTGATAGTCGATGATATTATACATTTTATTCGGCGTACAAAAATGATTTACATAGTTAATAACAGACTATTTATTGACTAGTGGATTGACATCTTGACAGCAGTTAGCCATACATTTTTAAAAGCTAAGTGCAGCACTAAAAAGTTACTAATAGCAAAGAAAGCAGTTAGATGTGTAACATATAACAGATCTAATTAAGGTAGATTACCAAGGACAAAAGCGAAAGACAAAGAAATAAGGAATAAATGGAAAATATAAAAATGGAGTCTGTCAAAATAAGGCTTAAATTGTGAGAGCCTTGAGAGCATTGCCAGATCGAAAAGAAAGCTAGTAAGGAGACATCTGTTGCCCAACGAAAGCCTTAAAATTAACACACATTCATTAACTTCTTGAAAAATGTGAGACATCAGCATCACCAGGAGAGTCGATCCAGCCATGTTCGTCAGTCCGTTTCTACGCAAACTAGTCTCTCTATAGGTAGTTATAGGTCGGGCCGGATGAATCGCCTTTATCATATAGCTACCATAGGAACAATCGAAAAAAAAATTACAAAATAAAATTAAAATCCATAGAACTTCTTTATTTTAGAATATGTATGAAAATTTCTTCGACATATAATTATTTTTTAATTTTCTTTAATGGTTTACCGGCTCAAGGTCAAGCGTTTAATTGTTAAAAATAAAAACAAAAGTTCAAAAATTGTCGCTGCTACAAAATTTGGAGATGGGGCCATAAGTACTTTTTTGTGTATTAGCTTAGTGTCTTAATTGAAATCTGATCTGTTTTGTGATAATCGAGTTTTTTGTTTAGATTATGTTATTCCTACATACATACATATATGCTTTCACATTTTAATACCGTTGCAAAGGGAATTATAATTTCTACGCAAACTAGTCCCTCAGTTTTAAAGCTATCTGCTTGAAACTTTCCCAAAAGTTGTCTTTTTATTGCAGGTAGTATATAAGTCGGAACTAAGTATATCATATAACTCCCACGAGAACAATCAGAAAAACAATTTTTTTTTAAGTATAACTTTGCTACTTTTAGTTTTGTTTTGTTTTTTGAAATTAAGTAATATGGAATTAATGTTTTAAATAAAATAAAATCGGACAACTATATCATATGTCATATTTATTTATTTTTTTTTGGGTTTATGTGCAATTTTTTTTTAATTCTAAATTTTTAAGTAATTCTGATAGTCTAGGTACATATGTTACGGACATGAAATGTATAGGTTCTGGACATTTTATTTTTTGTTCAATGTTTTGGTGTCTTTTTATATCATATGTCATAAAAAATTTATTTATTTTTTTTGGGTTTATGTGCAATTTTTTTTTAATTCTAAATTTTTAATTAGTTTTGATAGTCTAGGTACATATGTTACGGACATGAAATGTATAGGTTCTGGACATATTATTTTTTGTTCAATGTTTTGGTGTCTTTTTATAAATGCTTTAATTAAATGGTTTGGGAAGTCGTTGTCTTTTAAGATCAGACTTATTTATTCTTTGGTTTCTTTATCAAATATTTGGTAGGAAATTGTTAGCATCCATTGTATACGACCTACTGCTGTATTAGTAAACATTGTTTTAGGGTGTTTGGTATTAAAGTTAATGATTCGTCCTGATCCTGTTGGTTTTTTATTTCAGAAGACTTCAGACGAAGAAGACGATGGAAGGCTGGGATATTTTGAGTAAATGGTTTATAGACATGGAAACATTAAAACCAAAGTGTAATAAAAAACCAACAGCATCAGGACGAATCATTAGCTTTTACTTCGTCAGTGGACTTCTGATATTCACGGATCAGAAAGCCTTAAAAACTCAAAATGTTATAAAAAAGAAAATTAATTAATTATTGTTTTTAATGTATAAAAATATGTGAAGTAATTTTTGGAAGCTTTTGTCTAAATTAATGTTATGTCAAGAGTTTTATGTTGTTTATATTTACCCTAAAGATGGTCACCGAAACGCATCAGAAATACATCGGAAAGATATTAAAAAAACTTTGTTTTCATTTTTATACCCTCGCAGAGGGTATTATAATTTTGGTCAAAAGTGTGCAACGCAGTGAAGGAGAAATCTTCGACCCTATAAATTCTTAATCAGGATCACCTCCTGAGTTGATATAAGCAAGTTTATATACCCTTGCAAAATATTCTGTAAATTATATTCTCCAAAATTATTCATATGATGCATTCTTAATACTCATAAAAAATCACAAGTTCCTAACTTTAAAACCACCAAAGTTATGGCATTTCCGATTGTTCAGTTATATGGCGGCTATAGGATATAGTCGGCCGATCCTTATGAAATTTGGTAGGTCGGATTAATTGGCCAAATATAAAACCCATAGGAAATCCCAACTTTCTAACTTTACAAACACCAAAGTTATGGCATTTCCGATCAATCAGTTATATGGCAGCTATAGGATATTGTCGGCCGATCCTTATGAAATTTGGTAGGTCGGATTGATTGGCCAAATATAAAACCCATAGGAAATCCCAGCTTCCTAACTTTACAAACACCAAGGTTATGGCATTTCCGATCAATCAGTTATATGGCAGCTATTGGATATAGTCGGCCGATCCCGGCCGTTCCGACTTATATACTGCGTACAAAGGAACGAAGGGTGTGTGCAAAAATTCAATTCGATATCTTTTAAACTGAGAGACTAGTTCGCGTAGAAACAGACAGACGGGCGGACAGACAGACAGGCGGACATGCTTATATCAACTCAAGACGCGATCCTGATCAAGAATATGTATACTTTATAGGGTCTCCTTCACTGCGTTGCACTTTTGACCAAAATTAAAATACCCTCTGCAAGGGTTTACAAATTTATTTCTATCCGAAACTGCGAAAAAATTGTAATCTTTCTAGGAGGTAACATTTTTTAAGAGTATGGGTGAAACTGAATGTGCTGCGGTCATACTGTCAATCAACAATAAACAATTAGCACTTAATAAAACACATAACGATATGTTGAGGTAAAATGACGCAAAGGTTAAAGTCGCTATTGATTTGGCAGTATTTATTGCTTATAAATATATTTGTTTGACAATTTTCACACAAATGGATTGTAAAAAGAAATTTTGTCGGTCAACGCTATATAGTTTCTTCTTCTTCGCTCTAAATATCAGAGCTTAAAAAGACCTCGACGTAAAATATCCGCCAACTATTTGTCTTACGCTCTTCCTGATAACTGTCGACGAATTTCGTCGATTTGAGTATTAGATCATATTTTCAAATAGGAATAAAGACGATTCCCACTTAAAAACTGACTTATCGATAAGTGTTGAGTTTAAAATCTAAACTACTATATAAAAGTCTTCGAATAAAAAATGGGTCAGTGGTAAATTCCTACCAGAGCGGATTGACATAAAAATCTAGAAAAATCCGCATAATTCTGAAATAATTAGGAGACGTGTGTGAGGTACAAATTAAAACAATAAACGACCCCAAAGTGCCCCAAAATTCGATTCGTTTTTTTTTAAATTCTTTCTTTTGCCATTTTTCTGTTATAAATGTTGTTAAAATGGTTTAAAAAAATTATGATCATAATCTTATGGCATAGCCGCAACTAACTGCATTTAAATTTTTTGGAAATTCA